ATTCATGGGGAAAAAATCAGATTACCGTCACACTTAAACCATACACAGTGGAGTCTCAGACTGCTTTCAACCATAATACAGCTAAAGCAGAGGCCTGCACATGCTCAGGGGACTTGGATGACATTCGGAGGCCCAAGGTACAAGAAGGGTGGCCAGGAAGGGTTTGGAGAATGGCTATATACAGTGGTTTGAGCAAATACATTACGTTGAGGATTACGGGAGCCTGGTAGACTAACAAAGTGAAAAATACGTAGAGGGAGAAGGCTAGGATGAACCCTGTGCTACTTGGCTCAGAACTGCAGGTATTAATACATACCCAAATGTTCATAGCAGCAATGGCCACAATCCCCAAACTGTGGAAAGAGCCAAGGTGCCCTTAAACAGACGAAGGGATAAAGAAGATATGGTCCATATATATGACAGAATATTACTCAGGCGTCAGAAAGGATGACTATCCAACTTTTGTTATCAACATGGACGGGACTGGAAGAGATTATGCTGAGTGAAATAAGTCAAGCAGAGAGAGTCAATTATGGTTTCACTTACTCACTTACTCATGGAGCATAATAGAACCGAATTCTCTCTACTGGAGCACAGCGTTGTTTTGAGGACCGATGCCAGTGCGGCTTATCTCTAGTTTATTGTTAAGGACTCCCAAAGGGGTCTTATTGGTCAGCCTTGTCCGTTTTTTGTTTTATTTTGTTTTTTGTTTGTTTGTTTGTTTTTTAAGTAAATTCTGCCTCCAACATGCGGCTCCAACTCTACTGCCTGAGCCAGCCAGGTACTCTAACCTTGCAGTTTTTAAATTGCTAGTTTTTTTTTTTTTTTTTTAAGATTTTATTTATCTCTTAGAGAGGGAGAAGGAGAGAGAGAGTGAGCACAGCTGGGGAAGCGGCAGGCAGAGGGAGAAGCAGGCACTCCACCAAGCAAGGAGCCCGATGCAGGACTCGATCCCAGGACTCTGGGACCGTGACCTGAGCAGAAGGCACTTAACGGACTGAGCCACTCAGGTGTCCCCTACACTGCTATTTTTTAGAAGAGATAAACTGAATTTAGCGGTGCCTGGGTGGCTCAGTCTGCTGTCTGCCTTTGGCTCAGGTCATGATCTTGGAGTTGCGGGATCAAGCCCCAGATCCAACACCCTACTCACCCAGAATCCAGGAGTCTGCTTCCCTCTCTGCCCCTCATTTCTGCCTCATATGCCCTCTCTCTCTCAAATAAATAAATAAAATCTAAAAATAAAAAAGATAAATTGAAGTTACCTAGCACAATCCTCAATAAACATTTCCTTATTTTCCCAAACTATCTCTGTTTCTTCCAAAACAGAAACAGACCTGGTTTATATTCATTCACATCCCTAAACCATCTTTCCTCCAGACTTCGTTTTAAAGTTAACTACAAGTATTTGTTTTAACTCTGTTCCAACCAAGCCCTACATCAGGAAATAATACCTCAGTCTTTTCCAAGTCAAATATTTCTGTGAAATTCTATTGGTTAGAAGAGACTAGCAATTTCAAAATGCTAGAAACATAGAGAACACTCAATACACTTTGAGTGAATGCTGAGAACTCACTCTGATCCTAAGTTTCCCTGGATGTTGCTATATGCATAAAATGCCAAGACCAGAAAAACCCTGAGAGGGCTGTGTTCCGATTCAACCTGAGCCAATAATTATACCAGTAACCTGATGTCGGTGATTTTGCCATTTTACTAAAAGGTTGAGCAAGCCAGGTTATGGATGGATCCCATCTAGCTCCACAATTCCACAGCCTCTTGACAAACCTGAAAATGGACAATTCACAAGCAAGTTTGTATCTCTATGATGCTTCCTCTGACTGAAATCTTCCAGTTCCCCATACCCTCTCAGAGAACCCCTGTTACAGATTCCATTAACTGTCCATCACTTCTTTCATGAAGCCTTCCTCCAGCCCAAATAAAACAAATTGCTCCACATTCTTCAGACTCCCCATGACTGCATCACAATCTATTAGAGATGACCATTTACAAACTGAACTACGCTGGGGTCCCACGCCTTGCACCATGCTTAGCACACAGCAGGTGCTGAGGATGTTTTAAGATTTGAGTCTACAAAATCAAATTAGTTCCTGAGGAGTTTCCCTGTGTACATTTGGGAATTTAGCTTATTAACTTGAAGATACACAAGGCCAATCTGCAGCACAACCAAAGCTTTGTCCCAGCCGTATCTCCATATGCTGTACAAATTTATTCTGAGCGTTTGGACAAAAGCTACAAAAGGTATCACTGCTGCTGATTATCTGGGCATCCTCTGGAGATTACCTAATCTACCTCATCTCCCTAACCAAAGGAAAAAAAAAAAAAAAAACCTCTTTACCCTGCCCTACTTTGTTCCATGGCACTTACATCCTCCTACCGTGCAATATAATTTACTGATATTCACTGTTTATGATCACTTACCAAAACATAAGCTTAACTAATGCAGGAATTTTTGTTGGTTTTGTTCATAAATGATACCCAGTGCCTACCTCAGTGCCTGGTACACTAAATGATGGGTTTTGTTTTTTTAAGATTGATTGATTGATTGATTGATTTGACAGACGGAGATTACAAGTAGGCAGAGAGGCAGGCAGAGAGAGAGGAGGAAGCAGGCTCCTTGCTGAGCAGAGAGCCCGATGCGGGGCTTGATCCCAGGACCCTGAGATCCTGACCTGAGCAGAAGGCAGAGGCTTAATCCATTAAGCAACCCAGGTGTCCCTAAATGATTTTTTTGAATCAATAGTTCTTCCCTTCTCTCTTAAAGCCCTCAGGAGTTCTGAGTCAGCACCTTCATAAACCTATCTCACAAGGCCCTTTTTTCCTCAGCTCCATCCGCTCACAGTAGCCTTACAAGTAGGATTCCAAGAACTAGAGGTAAATATTTCTATTTATTTCCTAACCTGCAACTCTTAATTTTTCTGCTCACCTACCCGTAGAGAAATAATATCCAGGAAGCTATACTAAATAACATATAGAGGAAATAACCAAAACTTTATTCTTTCATGTCTGATAATAATTATTTCTATCTATGAGGTCTTCCCTTTAGATTTGAAACTACTGGTGGACAAAAACCAAAACCAAGTTGGATTTATTTTTATGGACTGTCAAGCACAAGTGCTAAATACTTTGGAACTATATTAACTGCCACATGAGACCTGACTGAAAAATTGTGCTCCAAATAGTACAAACCCTGAAGGGTGCTTATACATATATACATTCGTTACGGCAAGATTTTTCTTATATAACTAGTATGCTTCAGGAGAAATGAACTAAACCACTGCATTTCTGTAACTATTAAATACTGAGCCATGTAAAAAAAGGATACTGTTTTATTTGTATTCAGAAAATACCACCAAAACCTTCTCCATCCCCTAGTTTCAGCCAAATATGGTTCTTCCCTGCTCCAATCAATTTAGCTGTGAGTTCCAAGAGTCATAAGCCCATCAGCAACAGTCACGGACAGCACCTACACAGCTATTTTGAAGGCACCTTTTAAACTCTTGAAGAAATAAAACAACAGCAACGTGAAATATAGTCAAGATGAGAAGCTTCAAGCAGAGATACCTGGATATCTTGATTCAATCTAAACTAAGAAACAAAGTTTTTCAGAAGTCCTCTCACCCAGCACTACCTACATGACAAACTCAGAACCAGCTTCTAGAGCCTAAGAAAGAGATTTCACAAACTCAAACTCACATGTGGTAGGCAGGGTGACACAAGCCAGGCCTCTGGTGCCTATGAGAAACATTAGCAATCTGGCCTGCCACTTAGCCTTCTGTGATCACTCAGTTTTGCTTCACTGCTCAAAAAAGGATTAATATTTTATATCTGAACACGTGAAATTAGGGTTAGTTAAATTCTGGGGATCCAAGTGCCAATGTAGTGACTAAAAATTACAGGTGGGGAAAGAGAATCGGGACAAAACTGCTATTGTTATTGTTGTGAAGAAAAATGCTATTCTGTCCACAACAGTAAAGGAGTATATGGTGCAAATTTCAATCTGAGTTTTTATGAGTTTTCTAACCACAGATTAAACATAGGTGAATCACAATGAAGCTTTCAAAAGAGGAATTCCAAGAGTGTATGGCCTGTTTACTGACGACCTGAGGCTGTCTGCTGCCTCCACACCCCTAAGTGGCCATCCCAGCTTTCTGCCCAACCCCGAATTCGTCTACAATAAAGGTAAGTAAATGAAATAATGACCAGCCCTAAATGTGACGTTAAGTTGGCATTTACAAACGATTTGCAAAAGCACTCCCCAGCGGACCTAATCGACCCCAGGGCACACTCCTCAGACTTCTACTTGGTGGTTGTCTAAAAAGATAAAGCCCCTACTTTTCAGGGGAGCACACTGGGAGGAAGGGCGCCTCGGGGAAGCAAGGAGCTGCTCCAGACCCCAAGACCCTGGGGCTGTCATCATGGGATCCCGACTCGAAAGCAGCCTCATTAAGGGTGTTACATCCACAGGACTTGTCACCCCAACTTTGTACTCCTAAAATCTAAGAAGTTAAAAGGGTGCTGGGGTGACGGGGAAAAGTACAACGCCCGATCTTCTATTCTTGGACCCAGATAAACGCAATGGGCAAGCGAAACGGAGACAGAGCCGCCGGGCAGGAGACGCGTAAGGGGCATAAGGGGGAGTGGGTGGTATCTACGCTGGGCGGCTAAACCCACAAACCCAAGAGAAGAGGGAAGAGAGACATCGGGGTGATGGAGAAATGCAGGGCCAACCAATCGACACACCGGGGTGTGTCGGGACTTGGGGTCCGGGGAGCAAGAGGCTCCTTGGGGGCCGGAGGGCTCCACGCGAGCTCGAAGCGGGCTGGGGAGGCGACAGGCGTCCGGCAGCGCCCGCGCACCGGGCAGGCTCCCAGAGCCCTGCTGGATGGGAACGCCCGGCCCAGGCAGCGAGGGCCAAGGCGAGCTGGGGCCCGCGGCCCTGGTCTCCCGAACAAAGCCCGCGCGCGCCGGGCCTGGCTACTCACAACAAGAAGCTCATGTCGGCGGCGGCAGGGGCTGGGGGGCTCGGCGGTCTCTCGGCCTCCGGGCGGCGGCGACGGCTCGGGCGGCGGCCAGGGAATAAGAGGGAGGGAGAAAAGAAGAGGAGGCGAGGAGGAAGAGGGGAAGAGCCGGCTGCTGGACGGCCACAACTTGTTCGGCTTCGCTCGTCCAGTGGCAGGCGGAGGGGGCGGAAGTGGGAAGCGCACGGCCTGAATCACGGACGGCGGCGGGGGAGGAGGACAAGGCGGGGAAAGGGCCGCACGCGGGCTCTCCGGGGAACAGCTGCCGCGGCTGCCGAGCTGCTCGCCCCGCCTCCCCCTTTCTCCTCCTCCTCACCTTCTTCCTCCACCTCCTCCTCCTCCAAACCCCCCCCTCCCTCTCCAACCCTCTAGCGCCCCACGGCCCTCACTCCGCGAGTTCTCGCGAGAGCGGCGCGCGCCCACCCTCGTCCGGCCGGGGCTGCGGGTCCCCCAAGTTCTGGACGTCCTCGAAGCCCGGGACCGCGCCCAAGCAGGGCTCTGGGGCCGCCGGGCCCGCCAAGGCCAGTCCGCCCAGCTGGGGGCGGGTCGTGGCGGAGCGCTCCCAACTCCTTGGCTGGGTTTCAGCAGTCGGGAAGGGAATGGGCTCCTCTCTGGGATGTCTGGGTTTGCAGTGAGGGATGGAATTGCCACTAGGGCTTCTGCCCGTTCTAAGTGTGCAGCAAGGGATGATGAAAGGTTATGGAGTCCCTTTGCTAGTATATAAAAGCAGGAGGAGGTTTAACGTGTTTGGAATGTGTGGGTGTTGTTTGCCCAGAATAGAGAAAGGAGTCAAGCTCCCCGTCGTTTTATGGTTCTGTCTTAAAACCCTGAACTAGGAGAGGAGAGGTCAGGGTCCAGCCTTGTTTCAGCAGGCGGGTTAGGCTATCGTCAGTAGCTGGGAAAACTGCTGTAGTGACCTATGCAAGGTCTGTGGAGCATTCTTAAATAGATTATAAAGCCTGGCCCTGAACCCCCCTGACTCTGTGAAATAAGGGAGTGTCTGCAGAAGGCCCTATGTTTATGATGGTCTTAGACCCCATAAATGCGTAATCAGCATTGCCCCTGATGAGCAGCCTACCACAACATTATCGCTTTGAGTACCCACTTATTTTACACTAGAGGTGTCCATCTTCTTTATTCACAACACCCATCAAATCCACAAGTAAGTTTTCAAAAATATTGGAACAAAACTTAAATAATGTACAGCTATTAACCCACCTTGGGTTGAGTTACTTGGAAGAAGTACCAATATGAAATATAGTCTGTTGAGTTTGTGCGGTATTAGTTCAGTACCTCAGTAAATCAAACCATTTTCTTTAAAACAGAAGGAAATATTGGAATCTTGACGCTATCTCGGAAATAGCAGTGGTCATTGGAATAATTTGAGAAGACTTAAAGACTCAAAAGATGGAGGAAAGAAGAGGGGAAAGGATTTACCTTAATAAAGTGAAAATAATGGATTTGTGACAGAAGCCCAGATCTTGATTTGGTACTACTAATGTACTATATAATTCCTAAGGGTCTTCTGAAAGTACAACTTGAATTACCAGATTAGGAAATTACGTTTGGGAAGGGTAAATCAGTTAACCTGCTACAACAACAGTCTCATCCCTGTTAAAATGAGGGCCTTGAATTTTTACATGATCTGTAGGATATCCTCCAGTTCTAAAGTTCTGTCGTGTCAGGGTTGTCCTTCAAATGTCTGGCGGACAGTTCCCATCTGCTCCCTGATTTGGTAGCTGACTTTTGTTCTAAGCTTTGGTAGCTTTGCTTTTGTTCTAACACACTTTAAATGAATTCTATGACAATGAACCCGGATAACGATAAGCAGAGGAGAGAATCTGCTAAATTACCTGCTGAGTTCTTCTTGGAGAATTGGCTGAAATTAACAGCTGATTAAACTTAAATATATTGGTCTTAGAAATGATAGAGGTTTCGTATTAATAATACAGAATATAATTCCAGAGGTTAAACATTTAAATCAAACCATGGCTGTCACTTAAAATTACTCAGCTTCAAAAGTATTGAGAAATTTAGAATCAAATAGGGGTATATTCAAATAGACGTTTCTAATAACAATTTCACCTGCCCCAATTCATATTTCATATCACTGTCCTCTTAAAATTTCAAGAAGTTACTCCCCTGATCAAAATTATTTTGTTTGTAAATCTTTATTTATGAAGGAAGATGATTAAAATCTGTATTTACCAATTTTTCCAAGAATTGATACTATAACATAAATGGAATAGAACATGTGTGGGTATGCCTTTAAATATTTTTTAAAAAGATTCAAATTTATAAGTGAGTATATTTATATATGTAAATGTAAACAAACAAGATAGTTATACATTGTGGGAAGACGGGAAGTAGACAGAATAATGTAATAGCAATGCTGAAGGGAGAGGATCTAATTTAGATGCCGTGGTTAAGAAAAGCCTCTCGGGGTGCTTGGGTGGCTCCATGGGTAAAGCCTCTGCCTTTGGCTCAGGTCATGATCCCAGGGTCCTGGGATCGAGCCCCACATTGGGCTCTCTGCTCAGCGGGGGGCCTGCCTCCCCCCCCCCCTTCTGCCTGCCTCTCTGCCTACTTGTGATCTCTCTCTCTCTCTCTCTCTCTGTCAAATAAATAAATAAAATCTTTTTTAAAAAATACTTTTAAGAAAAGCCTCTCTAAGGAGGTGACATTTTTGTTAAGACCTGAAACAAGAGGAGGAAGCAGTCTTAGAAAGAGTGAGGGGATGAGCATTTTCTAGTAGAGGAAATAATAAGCAAAAATGCTCTAAGATAAGAAAGAGCTTAAAGAGTTCTTAGAGCTGAAAGGTTATGGCCTGGGCAGAGTGAGCAAGAAAAATGGCATCAGATAAAGCTGGACATGGAGACAGAGGGCAGGCTGGGGTAAGATAATCTGAATAACGTTTCATTTTTTTTAATTTGGAAAATTTCAAACATATACAAAGGGGAGGAAATTAATATAATGAATCCATCCTGCAGCTTCAGCAATTATCAGTTCATGATCCGTGATTAACATTTTGGAAAGATCACTCTCCCTTTTTGTGGAGAATGGACTAGAGGGAGCCAACAAGTCAGAAGGGAAACCAGGAGACTATTCTAATAGTCCGGTTGTTTCTCAGTTGTGATTTGGTTTAGCGTAGTGTCATTAATAATAGAAGAAATTAGGGGCTCCTGGGTGGCTCAGTGGGTTAAGCCTCTGCCTTCGGCTCGGGTCATGATCCCAGGTTCCTGGGATCGAGCCCCGCGTCGGGCTCTCTGCTCACCGGGGAGCCTGCTTCCCCCTCTCTCTCTCTGCCTGCCTCTCTGCCTACTTGTGATATCTGTGTCGAATAAATAAATAAAATATTTTTTTAAAAATAGAAGAAATTAATAATCTCAGGGTAAAACCAACAGCACTTGGTGATAGATTGTGGAGGCTGGGGAAAGGAGATTACTACAATTATTTTTGGCTTTAGCAACTAATTGAAACAGCCATTTATCGAAACAGGGAAGATATGAGTCACAATTTGGGGGTTAAACTAAAAGTTCCATTTTAGATATGTTAACTTCGAGATGTCTATTAGACATCAAAATAGTCAAGTAGAGTTTTGACTACTGTGCCAAGGGGGACGGGAGGAATCTGAACTAGAGACATGGATGCAGACCTCAGCAAGTAAACAGTATTTGAAGCCCTGCACATTGTTAGAGCTCAGAGTTGAGGCTGGCAGGCCAGAGAACTCACAAGTCTAGGTGGTGCGCTACACGAGGGGTGAGTCTTTTGCTAATACCACAAGTGTCTCTGGCCCAGTCAGTGGAGTTTGATAGTAATTCTTGCTACAACTAAAAAACAAAGGGTATAAAGCCATAAGATGGGCTTCCAAAAAGGAATTTACACGCCCAATAAGGATAGACAAAGCAAAGTGTTACCTGTAAGCATCTGGGTTTTTTCTTTCTTTACTTCTCTTCCCCGATATCTCTGGTTTCTGATCACCATTTACCCAGTTGTGATGATGATGATGTAGTTATGCTTTTGTTTTTTTTTTTAAAGAGCCCATACGTTTTATAAATATATGCTGAAATAGTTACAGGTGAAATAATATGCCTGGAATTTGCTTCAGAATAATGTAGAAGAGAGAATTAGGAGTATTGATGAGATGAGACTGGTGGTGAGTTGATAGTGGTCAAAGTCAGATAGATAAGTACATGAGGATCCTTATATTCTCCTGCCTAGTTTCGTTTAGCTTTGAAAGTCCATAATAAAAAAGAAAAATAGATAGCAGGTCTCCTTTTGAAGAGGCCAAGAAAAGTATTATTAATGATAGGAACTTAAAATCTGCTGATATAAACAAGGGTTCTTTGGCCTGGAGCATTCTTTCCTTGCCCTCATATTAGCCAGGTTTTTTTCTGCCTATATATTAAGATATTCTTTTACGTGTAAAGGCAAAAGCAAATGCCATCAATGCCAGAGAGAAGAAACACTGAATTCAAACCCTGTGGCTAAATCTGGGCATCCGTATTTCTTGGGTAGCTGATCCCTTCTGATTCAGGAATGTGATCTGACTGTGAAAGAATGGATACCTGAACAGCAAATACTAGAAAAAGTACAGCTGGGCAACAAACCTGTCATGGCCTGATAAAATGCATTCTGTTGTGCAGCAGTATTTTGGTTATATAACATCTAGGCTGATGTGGCAATTATTCCATCTAATTAGTTTATTACATAAGATGGTTTTTATAGCTGCAATATTTTGAATATTTCTTTTTTGTTAAGATTGTATTTGTTTACTTGAGAGAGAGAGAGAGAGAGAGAGAGAGAAAGCATGAGAGGGGAGAGGGTCAGAGGGAGAAGCAGACTCCCTGCTGAGCAGGGAGCCTGATGCAGGACTTGATCCCAGGACTCCAGGATCATGACCCAAGCCGAAAGCAGTCGCCCAACCAACTGATCCGCCCAGGCGCCCCAATATTTTGAATATTTCTGATGGTCTAGTCACTCCGCTAAGTTTTTCACATATTTTGTCCCTGTTTACCCCCATGTTTATAAATATGTTTATGTCATTTATTCCTTACCCGGCCCCATACTGTTGGTGTTAGGTATTACTCCCTCCATTTATAGGTAAGGAAATTAATGCTAAGAGGTTACGTATGTAACTTGCTCAAAATCATGTAACTACCAAGTACAGTCTGAATTCAGTAAATCCCATTTC